GACCAGGGGGCACTCACCTGTCGTGGTTTGGCTGTTGGGAAACCTTGTTTCTTCTCACCTTTTTTGGGAGGGGGAGTCGACGCTCTCGTCCCTTCCAATTCTAATGACTGGGCAGGAATCCACTCACCTGGGTACACCTCAATTGGTGTTTTGGCCTGTGAACGTGCTTCAAAGACATTCACAGCACAACTTTTTATCTCACTGATGGATTTCTCTTTGAAATTAGCCATCATTTGCACTGACATCCTTATGTCAGGGTGGAGATTTTTGCTGAACACGTACTTAAACGGTTCTTCTTCCTCCATGTTGGCCTCGTTCCTGTAACCAAAATAAGCCTGCAAAATCCTGGAATAATATGCCATGGGGGGCTCATCCTTACCTTGCACGACCTTGTCGGCGGCTGGATAACCGCCAGGTCCCGTGCAGGGTGAATACTCTTTCATAAGAGCAGCACATAACAGGCGGTAATCCTTTCTTGTGGCATCAGGTTGACGCTCTATGAAGGAAAACACCGTCCTGGATGAAGTGAGCCTGATCAAACCTACTCTATCCTCAACTGTAGCGTTGGGATAGCTTCTTAATTGGAAGTCAAGGTTGTCCAGATAGGCCTTAGTGTCAGTTGAACCCAACGGCCCTGGCTCAAATCGATTGACATATTTTGCAATTTTGTGCAAATCCAAAACCGGGAGCAACGGCTGTTTTATTGATATTGTAAGAATCAAAACTGTACGTGGATGTGTGTCGCTAGACTCATATGGAGGTGACGGAATGAGATTAAGAGCAGGAGGTGCAGCAAAATCTTTCTGAGGTGGTGGTGGGTGACCTGGACTCTGACCTTGTACGGCTTTGAGTTCCAGACAACCTCGCCCCATGTCAGAAATTTTATTTGTTGCAGCGGCTAGTTTCGCCTCACAGGCTTTTAAGCGTTCCAGTGATGTATGACATTCACTTTGTAAACGCAAGCCTTGTTCGACCAACGCCTCCTTTTCCAATCTGCACCCGTTCAGAGCTTTTGATGTCTGCTGCAACTGTCGTTGTAGAACATCGTTGTCTGAACACAATTTTTGGTACTTGACCTCCCTCTCCTTCATCTTCTCCTCATATGAGTGAGCTTGTAACGATAGCTGAGCTTGTGAGAGCTCCCTCTCACGTTGTAACTCATTCGCACTGGTCTCTTGATCAAATTTAGACTGTGCCATGAACTTGAGGTACTCCTCTCTTTCGCTGTTTAACCTTATTTCAAGGTTGTCAGCTCTGTTCGCCTCTCTATAAAACGTTGCCTTCAGTAAAAGTGCTAAACTTAGCCAGCTGATCATAGCTTGACTTTGTTATAGCTGTAGAGGTCACACCCGCTGTGACACCCTTCAGCTCTTCCAATAACTCTTTGGAGTTCATGCTGTCCACCTGTACACCATATGGATCTAAGGATTCTGTCAGCAGCGCCAACGCCTTCTCTAACCAATCCATCACACAAGGATCAATAGTCTTTTCTGTCACATCTGCCATGGTTATTCACTGTCCAGCATTCATCTGGTTAACCAGTTGCCAACTTCAGATATTTTAACAGGTAAATATTTATATTCAAGTGAGCACACTATTTTAGCTCTGGGTTCACTCAATAGTACTGTCATAAGTCAACTTATTCAAAGGAATGGGCAATTATTGTAAGATTCACCCCAATGCATGAATATTTTAAGTAAATGCCTCCTTCTGGCAGTGTTACTTAATGTGCTTATTTTTTAACAGATACAAGAACCAGGCTTCTCAGTGTACATTTACTCTAAAGCACTTAAAATTAAATAAACCTGCAATTTTTCTAAACGTCTCACAGCAACTTTAGTTTTCAAACGCTTTTTAAGCAGTTCTATATACCAGAAAGTCGCTATTTAAAACAGTCACTCATAAACCAGGCTGTATGAACAAAAAGAAAAGAAAAAAAATGAGAGGAATTATCAGTCTCCCCTTTAGGAAAACTGTTATACTCCTCTTTCAACAGCAGGTGGTGGTGTAAGCTTATTTATACCAGCAGGAGTCTATGACAACTTCCTGTGGATCGTTCTGTTGACATCCGGTTGTTAGCCGTTAGCCAGAAGTAGCATACGGTCGAACACGGTCAAATCAGCGTTTCTGAACGGGTTTAAAGCTTAAACGTGGCGTCGTTTTAACAAACACGACTTTTTGCATGAAACACGAGTTATGGGAACAGTGGCAGGCCACATGTAGCTATTTTAAACACAGAGGAGGCTTCGGTTGAACCGAGATTCATTTCCGGGGTCACGTGACTTCATAGACACGTGAGCAACAGGGTGGGTTTTACAACCTGACATCAGAGGGAGTGAACGCAGACACGTCACCCATTTTTCAGCAAATCGGAGCGACCCAAACAGCGGTTTTCAACCAATCACAGCTCGTGATTCCAGCTAGCAGTGTTAGCAGTTAGCCTGAAAAAGTCCGGTCAACAATCGCCCATAAAACTGCAAACATGCACAATTTACTGCTACAAATGTAACAAATCAGCATTTTTGTGGTCTGAGACGGCGCTCAGCTGCAAAACAGCATTTTATCCATTCAAAACACGACTCGTTCAACGAGTCCAGTGACAGAACCGGTTCAGACAGAACCCCCTTCTCTGCTACAGTTTAAACAGAATAAAGCATTTTACCACAGCATGCCAGCTTTAGTTACACAACAGATGTACAAATTTTAGCTTTAAAATGAACACATTGACATTACTTTCAGCTCTCTGAACACCACAAGCAGAATCATGCTGTATCAAGCTCAAAACTTGGACCTTTTATGCCAACACTCAGCGTCCATCTCAATGATACAGACCCCGTCACATTTAATTCACACCTCTTTAAACATTCGTACGGCCACAAAATGTCCAAACAGGCGGATAGCGGGTCACGAGAAGCTCTTTAGAGACCCATCCGGGCCACCAGATATGTAGTGAGATAGGGCTAGGTTAGCTTCAGTTAGCTTAAGAGCTCCACTACAATCAATATTTAATAACGGGTTCTCACTTTTTCGAGCTACTTGACAGATATGTGACAGAGGTACTGTGTGGGAGATGGTCTAATCAGTGACATGAGACATTAATTTTCTTTGACCCATCAAAATGAATGTGGTAATTTATTAACAGAATCAAAATTTAACATCAAAACATTGTACACTTGATTATTCTGATCGGCTCTGATTAATAAAACTTGGCACGTTTTACTTAATAAAAACAACAGACATTTCTGAAGATATCTGGATTAATTACTGGCAAGATAGAAGAGTTTTAAAGATGGGGAATGAAGGAGTTTGAATGGAGAGAAAAGATGGATGAGGGAAAGTGTGTTGACAAGGAATGGCCCCTTCATCTGACCCCAGCTCAGCCTCGGTACACTCGATAGTGAAGCGACTCGTTACCTTTGCAGAAGATAGGTCAGCTCCGGTACGGAGTTCCATTTCAACGCTACCTTTCAGCGTCTCCTTAGGATGGCTGAGAATCGTCCGAAGTAGTGACGGTACTCCGTTCAACAACACGGTCACCTCCCGGGTGGACTCACATGACTTGTGAGTCCGTCAACGGTTCCATAATCCCAACTAGACTCAGAAGAACTCCCAACTAACTCCAGCACTTCAGAACTTTCGGAACCTCTGTTCTGAACTTTTGGAACTTCTGTTCTCGCTGGAACTAGGAAACCAACTCTGGAGGCGTCTCATGTGTAATAAACCCAGCGGGACAACTGTGTGAGCTGATTATATCATTCCTAACAGCTTCATGATGGAAAACAGCTGTTACCACTCTGCCAGGTCTTACGTGACGGAGCTGGTCTTTTAAAGTGTCGATTCTCGTTTGTGATAAACAAGCCTTCATGGTGGTTGAGTTTAGCTCCACTCCCAGATAAACAATTGTCTGGGCCGAGAAAATTGAGCTTTTCTTCCAATTTATAGCGAAGCCCAGATTTAACAGGTGTGATGTCAACACCTGAGCCTGCATCACTGCTTCCTGTCTGGAGCGTGACAGCAGCAGCAGGTTATCCAGGTAAAACAAAACTCTCATCCCTGCTCTGTGTAACGGATGCAGGGCTGTCTCCTCACACTTTGAGAACGTACGAGGCGCGAGGGAATAACCGAACAGCAGCCTGTTGTACTGACACTTCATCCCTTGAAAGGAGAAACGCAGGAATTTTCTGTGTTTTGGGATGATCGGTATACGAAAATAAGCATCTTTCAGGTCGACGGAAAACAATCCAGTCGTTTCTCTGGATGTTGTCCAACAGCTGTCTGGTTGTCAACATGTGAAATGGTCTGTCCATGATCGCCTTGTTGAAAGCTGACAGATCCAAAATGGGTCTCGTTCCTCTGGTCCGTTTGGGAACCAGGAAGTAACGTGAGTAAAACCCTGTGTTTTTCTCTCCGTTGGGAACTCTGGAGATTACTTCTTTTATCAGAAGCTCTTGGACTTCTGCATTTAGGGATGAGATTTGGTCTGGTGATGACAGGACGGTCTCTAAAATTTCTCCGAACGGAGGGATCGGGTTGCAAATTGCAACGTGTAACCTTTGCATAACACCCTGGCCATCCATCTGTCTGGCGAGCATGTTTTTAGCCACTCAGCATAACGTTCGTGGAGTGGACGTGCGTTTAAGTGATGCGTCATGTTTTGTACGGATGTCATCCATTCCACCGCCTCGACCGCCGTCATGTGTCGCGGGAATGTTTTCCGCGTGACCCAAGGCGAGGCTTCCTCGAAAAGGGCTCTGAACGCGCCCGTGTGCTGCGTTCGGACCGCGGACCAACCTTCATGTCTAAGTGGGCCGGTGTGTGCTGAGGCGAAGCGTGACAGCTGATGACACCGTGGGGCTGCACGTTTGACGCCACTGCGGTGAAAACGCATGTCGAATGATGAATGATGTTTTATTCAACATTTGTGTCATATTGACACACACCCTCCGCAGACCATCATTCTGAATCTTTTCCCCCATGAGCTCTGGGATTCGTTGGCCCAGGGCGCCGTCTGCTGGGGGTCTCTGGGAAAAACGTTGGACACTCTGTTGCCGGGATGAAGAGGGCCAGACAGGCTGAAGCTCAGCGAGACGGCCGTGGAACCGTCTTGCCACTGGCTCATTTCGTGTGGAGGGTGTGAGAGAAAGCCACTGTCAGATCATCTGAGCTGACAGACTGGCTAAAAATGGACACTTTCATCATTAAATGATGTTTTACTCCAAACTTGTGTCACCTACACATATTCTCTGCCACAATCGTCATTTGCTCTGCCATTTGTTGTCCTAGAGCGCTATCTGAAGGCGGTCTCGGGGAAACGCTGAAAAACTCCGTCCTCCGGCTGCGATGCGGGCCAGCAGACAGCAAAGAGGCTCACCGGTTGGGGATGACATCAGCTGCTCTGCAGACAGAGCGTTGTCTCCTCCCGCCTCTGAATATGTACGCCAACAGCGTAACGTGTTGTTCGCTGCGGCCTTCTGGAACGCATGCTGGTCGAAGATCGGTGTCACCGTCTGGGTTACGCTAACCGGAGGCTCGGGACGCTGGTCCACCTGGACATCTTGCTCCAATGAAGCCTCCGTCAGGCTCGGCTCCAGGGGGCACTGAGGGAAAAACCGCTCGGTGAAAACCCCTCTGCTCTGGTGATGGGCGCGGGCTGTGGGGACCGGGCCCACAATCTACCAGGAAAGCCGGCTGTGGCCTCATCCCGTAGGACACCCTGTTGGGAAAAACGAGGCCAGATGGGGTCAGGACAGTGAGCCGGAAAAGGAGCCTAGAAAAAGAACCCTCCCGCTGGATCATCCTAACTGGCGGGAAAAGGCGTGGGACGTAAAAAAGGTCCCTTCATGTCAGCCGCCTCCTGGGTTACGTGGGCAACCCCAGAGGGTACCGTCGGGCGGGAGCGATGTGATCACCAATGCGAAACGAGGTGGGATGAGGTGAGCATTCGCTTAGCCCCCCTCCACCGACACTACGCTCTCCAGGAGGGAATGAGCCGTGGGGGGCCGCTGCTGACGCTGCCTGTCCCGGAGGAACCATCCGATTCGCTCCGGGGGGCGGCGATAAGAGGAAAATTACAAGATGGCGTTGTCCATCGTGTAACGACCTGTCACTGAGAAATACTCCTCGGCGCTTACCTTGAAACAAGACTGCTCGTCAGCTTCTCCTCAGCGAGGAGAGCTCACCAGGATGACCGGAGGTCGACGTGATGGGCCAAGCATTCTTAACAAAGGTTGGTCATCTACACAACTTTCCTTCTTTGTTCTTCTGACAGTGCTATTAGCTCGCTGAAGAAAAATGGGAGCCGATTACCCGCTCTTAACATAATTTATACGGACCGGGTGGGGCCCACACAGTAGGTGAGCGTGGACTAAATTTTTTCAGTGTAATGCTTCGCATAACGGGATAACCCATCAGCGACAGCCTTAAAGGGCGAAGCTTATACGAAATAGAACAATAGTCATGTGTCCAGCAGAGGGACTAAGTGGTGAGTTGTGTGTCGGGTGTCATCAGAAATGAGTTTCCTAAATGATCAGCAGGCTCTGAAGTTACATGAGCAGTGCACTGGAGGCGTTGTTCAGACATGAAACAAGTTGTGGGTGGGAGTCTGTCTCTGGTCATGGTGTGCAGAGAATTTTGTTGATCTTGGTTGGTTAACAAACATTCAAAAATGTACAACAAATCAGGAGTGAGAGAAACAAGAGTGTTTGGATTCTCTTCCTGTTTGACACAAGTAGACCTTCAGATCCACAGCTGAGTGTCAATCTAAATTTTAGAATCAAGTCTGTAGCCAGTAAATTTACTGGGCAGGAGCCTGACAGCAAAAAATTATGATCATGTGATGATTGGTCAAATGGATCTATTGTTTTCAGGGGAGCTGTAACAACTTCAGGAACAGCTTGACCAGATGCTCCTGTAGAGTGTACAATTTTGCCTGAGAGTGGAGCATCAGGAAAACATTTTTTCATGATTAAAGTTTGTGTTGCTCCTGAGTCTACAAGAAATTTAACAGGGACATTTTCAACCAACACTGTGAGCATGGGTAACTTCAGATACGCTGACTGGGTGTATTTGTAATATGTAGGAATAATCTTGCCTGTGTCTGACAGAAAAACAGGTGTGTGTGTGTGCTGATACTTGCAGTTTGGAGTCCTGGGTCCTGGTCTCCCGGCACTAGTCAGGTGGAGTAACCTCCTCTCCGGCCTCTGCCCCCTGGATGCCCAAAACCACGTCCACCGCGTCGGAGTGGGCTTGGGTAAAAGTTCTGTCCATTTTGTGGCTGCTGAGGCCTCGGGCCCTGTTGTATGGGCTGGTATGGCGGGCGACCTCTGCCACGCCACTGATTCCTTTTGTGTGGGCAATCTCTGATCCAATGGCCAAGTCCTCCACACTGGAAACAAGGACGAGGTTCAGCTGGGTCAGTCTGCTGTTGATAAGGCTGGACCAGTTGCTGTTGAGGTCTTGGTGGGTGAGATGGCTGGGCAGCAGCTGTATTTAGCGTCATCTGTGTCGCTGCTTGTAGCAGTGTGAGCTGAGCCTCTTCACTTTGTCTCTGTTTTTTCTTCTGGGTGGAGGTTTGGTCAGCTGTGTGCTGATCCCAGGCATGTCTGGTGTGTCTGAGAAGCTCATTCAGACAGACACCAGTTTTCCACCCTATGTAGGTAGATTGAACAGCTTTGCGGATTGGTGGGAGAAGTCCAGTCATCAGAGATTGGCAGAAAATAATCTCAAAAGACGTTGCTTGAGGGGCTTCTTGCCAGTCATCATTATCGATGGGAATACCAGAGTGGGTTCTGAAGATGGGCAGCAATCTGTTAGCATAGTCTTGTGGGGCTTCATCTGGTCTTTGAAACAGTGTCTGTGATGGTGGTGAAGCTTGGGGTCTGAGGATACGCTGCACTGATGTGTTCTGTGATCCTTTCCACATGTGTGAAGAACTGTTGGTTGTCCTTGTGATCTGCCTGGACGTTGACAATTCAATGTCCATCACATCAGCAGCTACAGCAGCTCCTCCTTGTGCCAGGTCAGGCAAGTGCTGGCTTGCAATCTCGATCAGGGTCGCCTTGGGCCAGGCTCGGTACACGAGTTGAGGGCCAGTCGGTCATCCAACCTCCAGCATCGGGTTGGTGAGCAGGTCTGCAGGGTCGTCACTCCATCTGCAGCTTGGGGAAGGTCAGATAATGATAATCTGCGGGGGGGGGGGGGGGGGGGTTCTTTAGGTCTTGCTGTTTAATGTCGTCAATTTCCTTTTTTATAGCTTCAGCCTTTTCTTCAAGGGCCTTAATTTTTCCCATTTGTCTTGTGACGACTTTAGTACTGGTTCCAGCGACAGGACCTTTAGTATCAGCTGGGGTCTTCAGCGAGGACACTGGTGAGGTTTCATCATCTTCTTCCTCTGAATCAGATGCTGGTGCATATCCTTGAAAATCATCATCAGAGTCAAGGGCCCAAGTGGGCTTTGGTGGTGGGAGCAGCTGAGCTTGACCTTTAATGGGTAGTTCTTGTGATTTTTTCCTTCTTTTTCTTTGCCGTTACAGGTGGGGCGTACGATGGTGGGTCAGTGAAACCAGCCAGAGAGGGGTACAGCTGTGCCATGGGAGACAGAGGTCCACAGGACTCCAGTTTATGTGAAGAAAAAGAGGAGAGGAAAAAGACATGTTTAATTTGTCCTTAAGCAATTTCTTTTTATTTTATGCTAATATTTTTTGTGAATTTGTCATTGTCTCATTTTTTAGAGCCAGTTTTGGTTGCCTTTCCAACTTTTTTGAGTCATTTGGTACATTTTAGACGCTGTTTTTTTGTGTTAGGGATTTGGACTGTTTTTTCCACAATTTAAAACGCTTGCTCGTGATTGTGCATTGCAAAAAACATGTCCTCTGGTATTTTTTTTTCATATTACACATTTTTTGTTTTTTTAACAACTATTCTTTTAATTTTTGAATTTCTTTGGGGTCAAAAGAACCATTTTTTGGAAAATTTAATTTAAAATGCCACTGTGAAATAAAACTGAGACACGAATCACCATGCAGTCTGCGCATCCGGTCAGCTTCTGGACCACAAGGAATGTAATCTTCTGTTTTACTATTTCCTGAACCCATTTTCTTACGTTTTATCGCTCAGTCTCTTTCTATTGAGACTTACCACGGTTTGGTTTTACAAATCTACCTCCGTTTTAAATTATTAAAACCTACTTTGTCACTATTTTATTTCTCAGTCCTTTTAGAGGGACCTACCTCAATTCATTTATACAAAATCTACCTCGGTTTTATTTTTAAAACCTACTTTTTTATATATTAAAAAGTTTTTCAGTTTACCTTAAGTAGTTGTTTTTGTTGTTTCAGCCAAAAGTTCTCGGTCTGTTTCGAATTCTGTCAAGGTCGAATTTTCCCTATGGAAGACCAGAACGTCCTCTCACTCTTAATGTCTTACGAGAGGTTTAGAAGAAGAATCCTGCGATTCCTGTTGATCAGCCACCGTCCTGGGTCCACCGAGCAGACGGACCAGCCAAGGATCCTATTCGTGACGCCAAATTGTGGAGTTTTATCAAACTTTGTTGTTCAATAAAATTTAGCAGACTGAGAACTTTGTTAAAAACACGTAGCAAGGTTTATTTCTCTTCTGCAGAAGGAAGAACACATGAAATGAAAACACAGCCCAAGAGTTCTTGTGTGTTCTCCAAAATCATGAGCAATACAGTCTCATTTATACACCTTCACACGTAACATGTTTTGACACAACAGGCGCTCATTTGCAATCTTATCAGAGTAAAAACAAACAGTACGTTTGTGGTCAGTGACTGGTTCTGGAGCTGGGTTTGAGAAACGGAAGTTAGAAGGTTTCACACACTGATGTTGAAGGGGTTTAGCTGCTACAGTTTTAGATAAGCTTTAACAGAGTGTGATATAAAGTAAATGACTAATAAGAGTGATGATAAAATTGATGAACAAAATAAACTGGTATCAATGTTTTCATTTCCACAAAGTACTGATCCTTTCTGAGACTCAGAGCTAAAACTGCAGGCAAACACTTTAATTATCATTTTAAAGTAAACTGTAAATTGTGTAAACATATCAAACTTTTTTATTAACAACCCAGAAAATATCAACAACTACTGCTTGAATTATCTTCTTTTGTATTTTTTCT